TTTAAAAAACAATTCTAAATTAACTGTTAATACTGAAAACTGGTTTTAAGTGTACAGTCCAGAATAAACATGGAAACAAAAAATAATCCCTTCAAAAAAACTTAATCTGGATCTTCAGCTACTGAAGGCTGTCTCTCTCTGCCTCTCAAATAAAACAACCAGACTTCAAATACCAAATATTTCAACTCCTACAAATCTTCATCTCCTATTCCAAGTTATCATAGCAAAGTGATTATATTCTTGTCAGATTTTAACCTACTTTGATCCTGGAATCTTTCGTTTATGTGAGCCCTGCTGTGTTGCTCTTGGCTTAGCTGCTGTTCATGTAAATCTACAGGGGCTGGGTTAATACCAGTTCCTTCAAGATACAGTCGGATTCTTTGCCGCCACTGCCACCTTAGAGAGGAGAAAGAAGTTGGCATCAATAGCTGAAATATTCATTACAGAATTAGATAGCATCAGAGAGTCTTCACTCTCACAGCAGAGCATCTAAAGATTAAAAGTGATACATATTCAAAGTCACATTTCAAGTTTTATAGCTTCCACTATCATTTTTAAATTTAGAAAGTTAATCATACTAAAATGCAAATACTTTACACGTAATTTGCTACGCAGCATTTTTTGTTTGTGTAAAATAGGACGACATTGGCCAAAAATAGTCTACAAATGTTATAGGTAATAACTCATCATTTTAGGCATGTGATGCTAACTTCTGAATTCATGACTGATGCAATGATTTTGAGAACAAGCTCCTGGGAATTTATACAGCAATACATGCCATATTTTTATCATCTTTTATTTGTATTTGCATATGACCAGAAAAGCAGCTCTATCCACCCCTTTATACATAAGGGCCACAAGTATCCTCTCATTTTAAGAATCTCTCCTAGCCTAGGAACTTTAGGATGCTGAAGAGGGATTCAAATGAAGAAAAAGAATGATAAAAAAGGCATTCTTCCTTAAGCTGTTACAACATTCAGATTTTTTAATTTTTTCCTAGAGAAGGTATCAATTCCTTTTTACTCTTAACAATTTAGACATTGTATGAAACAAAATAGTAATAGTTTTGATTAAGCAAAACACAAGGGAGTGTTACAAGCATGTCTTTTCCCAGTTCATGCTGTTGATATCCAGATGACAGTAACCAGGTTATATGTTTCCTAAGTTACAGCAAGGAAGACTTACAGTTTATATGACTACACTACCAGTTTTTCCTCGCTGGCATCCTTGTAGAGCCTCATTCAACACATCCTTAGTATAATTACCTATCTACCCTTCAATTCCAAGTATAGTTTTACATAGTCAGGCAGACAGCATGCAATGAGCCACTATGCTAGCCTCTTTACAATACTTCTGCCAGAACATGTCAAAACCCCTACAAAACTAGAGAATGGGACTGCACACCTATTACACCACTATTCTGAGATCCTATTGCACAACTGACCGTCAAAAAAAGAAATGTGGGTAGTCTGATATAGTTTGTCCTTTATAAATTAATAATATTGGTTATTTCATGGGACTAGGAGGGTAAGTGCTTACACAGATTGTTGCACTGAAGTTGATATAGGGCGGAAATGCTTAGGTCGTAGTGACACTGTTTAATTAAGGCCTGACTACCTTGTATAAACAATGCATGCCTTACTAATGACTATGCCCTTGAAGAAGAGCTAGCAGACTGATAAAAGGGGAACATCTGCCAAGTGGGGTTCTCCCTTTGTGGAATTATCACCTAGCACCCATATCTGCCCCAATATGCAATAAAGACAATACCTCTGCTCCGTCTGTATATTGCAATGTCACGCACCAGATAAACGATCCCCCTTTTGGGAAAACAAAGTGGCTGACACTTTGAGAATGAGAAAAGACAATCCCCCATTTCCAGTCTTTGGCACCTCACCATCATTTATGCAACTCTGAGCCACCAGAAGCTCTTCCAGTTACCCATCTATTTTAAAGTTTCCTTAGCACCCAAATAAATTTGAGAACTGCCAAGTGAAACACCCACTCAGGTCCTTGCTTAGGAATATCCATTCCTACTATTCTAGAAAAATAACCAGGGAGATTCTTTCTGTTTCACTCTAGTGAGGCTTCAGCTCCATAACGAGCAACAACAGGAGTGTCAGCAACAAAAAAACAACACGGAATCCAATAAAACATCAGAATTGCCTAGATTATCAAGGGAGGTTACCATTAAGCCATTTTTCAACATGGTAAACTTCTACGCAGAATTCACGATTTGAGGCGTTAAAGATTTCAGTAAGCATCACCTGCTCCTTAGGAATTACATATCATTAAGTATTTTCCAATTACAATACTTTTTGAAAAACCAAAGATCAGTGAATCCTACCTGAACTCACCACGATAAAGCTTCTGTAGTGCTTCAGGAAACGAGTGAGTGTATCTCACAGGCAAACACAAATGACCCTCCGACCTGGTAGCAAAAAAGGACAATGAAAATGACAGTATAACTATTAAGACTCAAAAGACAAACCAAAGGTCTCTTTCTGTTACATAAAGCAAAGCTTTGACCTTTATGAACCTACACTAGTCTTGCGTAACAGCACATCAGCAACAATACACCTCTTCCAGCTCCTGAGGTGTATGTATGTGTGTGTGACACACAGTATTTCTCCCACATTTCCCCTAAAAACTGGCTGTTCAGTCAGTACGTAAGTACTGGTATAGTTCCTGTCACCATAGTTCTAGGCAAGGAATTAAAGTTTAATAAACCTTGCAAGTTAGAAAGAAAGTTTGCTCCATTTACACAGAAGTTAGTGATATGAGACAGGTAAGGAACATGCTTAAGATGAAAAGTATCTCATGTCAAAGTCAAAAGACTAAACACTGCTCCCCTTTCTTTAGTGACATTTGATAACATGAAGGCACTTGTTATTTGAACCCTGATATTCAGGCTTGATACTGCAGAATATCTATTCACAGCATTTCAAAAATTTTGGAAGAGGATTAAGGTATGGAAGGAATGAAAACTTTCAGCCACCACTTTCTTACCTATTAAGTTTAAATTAACTATCATAAGCAGAAGCCTAAATCTGGAAATCTTAGCGGACAGAGCCTTGGTGAATGCTGAGTTTTACTTGCCATCCATTTGAAGGTTATACCAACCAGGCAGTACTAATACACTGCATCCACCTGCCCAAATCAATCTTACAGCTAGGTGGATGCAGCTTGTGTGGAGTTTATAATAGGACAGCTAAATGCCATTAACTGGCTGAGGAGACTGCGTCCTCTGAGGTATGACAAGGTTTACAAGAAGAAACCAGAACAAACTTCTTCATCTGAGGCCCTATCAGATTTCCAATAGAATTCACCTTCTTCATGAAGAAGTCAAGTTTCTGTGCGTTCAGGCACCACACTGTTCTTACTTGCTTTTGTTACATCCCTTTTCCCGTCTCTGTTCTATACTACCACCTCTAGCCTCAAACTTCCAGTTAGCAATACAATCTAACTAGCTGCAAGGGCTGTTACACTGGTGTGTGAAAACCGCTGTGGCAGTTCAACACAATCATACTTATCCAACAGTACTTAATGGCCTCTCAGATACAACAGGATAAATAATCGTGGAAACTTTTCTAATAAAACAGGTTCACTTGTTTTCTGCAATCCACTAAAACAGACATCTACCCTGCCAAACGCTACAGGCCTACCTCATGCATCATGAAAACAGACGCATATTGTGCCTGCTATTAAATAAAGCACTGCTTTCCCAAATGTGTTTTTACCTTTCAGGATCAGTATTTACTCCAATAACTGGTTTAGATTTATCAAAGACCTTACTGGCTGCCAACAACATTGTACCATCACCTACAGAAAAAGCATAACAAAAGTTAGTTTCACTTCACATTCTAGTATCCCGAACAAAGTAGTCTCACATGTGCTGCAGCATTACCGTTAGGTGCTTTTCTGTCAACAACTGATCAGGTAAGCTGCAGAAAAATAAATTGGGACCACAAAACTACTGACACCTTTCAAGGCAGAGTAGTGACAACTGAATTCAAATGGCAAATGTGACTGGAAAAAGTGTGTCTTATCTGACAGCTACACACGCCAAGGCAACTGAATTTAGCCAAAGCAAGTCTGAAAAGAGATTTATGGAAATCTCTGTATGTTTACCAGCTGGTAAGAGAAATTCTGTAAGAAAATAAATTTAGAAAGTATTGCTAATCAAAGCCACAGGAGACAGGAAACAATACCAAATTTCACTGTGAATCACATGAAAACAATAACTTTAGTTCCATCTTAGTTGTTCTAGAAGGCACAGTTTAAAGGTCTTATTTAGGCTGAAATAGGTACACTTGGAAAAGAAAAGTTCCTATTATTCCAGAAAAATAACCAGGGAGATTCTTTCTGTTTCACTCTAGTGAGGCTTCAGCTCCATAACGAGCAACAACAGGAGTGTCAGCAACAAAAAAACAACACGGAATCCAATAAAACATCAGAATTGCCTAGATTATCAAGGGAGGTTACCTGTACTAGCGCTACCAGCTTTACCTAAGCAACTTAGCATGATGTTGAGTTAAAAGCTTCTGTTCTCTAGGTCTCAGAATATGTCAGTTGAAAGTACCTTTTCGCATAGCAATACCTACTGAAACGCCCTCAGCTATTTATAATCAATCCTGATGACTGCATTCACCTCATTTCAGAACTTCTCCATGGCACAGACACAGTTACACTTCAAGCTGCAAATTAAATATGCTAGAAGTATAAACAAAACCCAACTATGCCATATATTCAGGTCAATGACTTATTTTGGTTTGACGGTTTGCCATCATAAAAGTATTCTGGAATGTTAATACACCATAGAACAATGTCTCTTTTGAAATCGTTATTAAAAAAATCTCTTCCCTAGTCTGCCCTTTAAAATTCAGCTTGCTTCCTTCTTAATTCAGGTGAGATTCTTCTATTTTAAGAATATCTTGTATTGAAAACATAACTTATCTTCAGCATAAATAAAAAGCTCTTTTCCACTTGGAAAGGAAGTCTTAAATAAAATCGTTGAGGTAGAAATCTTGAAGTGCCACTGGTTTCCTCAGATATTGATACTCCTTCCTGTCTGTTAAACAGAAGGACAGCTATAACCTGAATCAGTCTTTGTACAAAGATACAAGCTCTGAAAAGCTTGGACGATGTATCACTTCCTGTCTGCTCACTTGTAACCATGACAAGTGTCGCCACAGCCAAACTGGCACCTTAAGCTCTAGCTTAGAGGAGTTCTCAGAAATCTACAGGCGTCTGTTAGGATGCTTCAGGAACATACACATATGCCTTTCCACTCAGTCTGCGTAGTAATCAGCAGCTAAGGGCAAAGTGGATCAGTGGGGAGCAGAGCAAGGCAGAGCAGTGGTCACATCTAACTGCCACTGATTACTGAACATTATGTCAGAACCCAGCAACACACTGCAGTATTTGCAGCAAATCACAAAAATAACACAAAAAGAACTGCTGCAATCCAATGTTAAAAAGAAACAATCAGGTTAGTTGCTCTGTTGGGTCATTTTAAAAGCTCTAAGCAGCAGCACAGGCTGCTCAGAAGTTGCATATTTTTACCTGTACCATCCAACTAGATACTCCAGTCACTGGCATTAAGTGTGAAAGCAAGAAAGACAGTTTGGGCAAGGGAAGGAAAAGGTAGTATGTTAGTCTTCACCTCACATACCAAAAACCAAAGAGTAGGGTTTAAGGCTATGTATAATCACATGACAGCAAGCATTTTATCCTCTTTAGTTAAAAACTATAGTAAATTCCACAGTTTATACTGTTTTACACAACACAATACTAAGCATTTCGAAAGCAGCCAGGCACTACGGTTCATTTCCTTGTGCTACAGCTTTAGATACTACAGATACTACAGGCAGAGAGAATGGTCACAACCATTGCACTTTGTCATATTTTCTGACAGATGAGCAATTTGTTTTCAAAATGTGCATACCTCCAGATGCTTCACACATCGCAAAATATTTTTGAAAAATTAATCTATGAAAACATACTGAAACAAATACTTCCCTTCCATACAGTCGTACCTCCTGCTGATATAACAGCATCCGCCCACCGAACTGTCTCTTCATTATATTCTCGACGTTTAACAAGACGAACTTCTATCCCCTCACTCCTACAAAGTGCAGAAAAAGCTTGAGTGCATCCTATATTATTCCTCGTCATATCCTTCTGAAAAGCTGACACGTAATTAAGGACTAATTACAGTGGTATTTGGCTACTAAGCATTTGACACTCACACAAATCCTTCACGTATTTTTCATCTGTTTTCAAGATAATAACGCTGTGTGTTACTTAACTGAACTGAGCTAGTTCACATCACAATTGTTTCAGGAATGACCCATTCACCTCCATCACTAGGTTTTCAGTATTCCTATGTTACTAGAGCTTGTAACACAAAGCTTCCTTTTGTTATTTTACACAATCTGTGAATATTTGCACTGTGTCTGAAACTCTCATCATTCATACATTCTTACCGTAAACTGTCTACAATGTGCTCCACGTTTTTTGTATGAATGCGATGCCGCTCCAGCAGACCAGCATAGTTAGATCCCTTCAAGGCAAGCTGTAAGACATAAATTTATTTTGTAAAAGTTAATCACTACAGTAAGTGCTCTTGAGTAATATAAATAAAAGCTATAAAAAAGCATGTATTTTATCTCAGTAGAGACACATGCTTTTATAAGCATTCCATTAGACACCTACATCTCTATATACATACCAGTCAGCTCACACTGACTAATCCATTAAATGAGTTACATGGCCACAGCAGCCAAGAATCACAGATCTTTTGAGGGTTCTACATAAATATGCAAAGAAGTATGCTACACTGACTTCTATGCCACTTCAGACACTTTGCCTTCCCTGAATCTTCTAAGTAATTTAAACTTAGTAAATCTACATAAAATAGTTATACTAATTATACTCCTTTCATGTGCTAAAAACATCCAAAGTGAGCTAATTACCCAAAGAGTTATAAACACTGTGCTATTAAAAAAGAGGACAACGGAAAAAGCAACAGGAATGATAACTCAGAAAACAGGAATCCTTGAAATACCTAGAGCACTAACCTTCAAATTGTATTAGAGCTAAAATGGAAGACTGCCTAGTGGTGGCAAAGGTGACATTTCCCCTGTGTCAATAAAAGCTTAAGATTAATCTACCTACTACCTTTAATATTGTCCCCTGGAACATAATCCAGATTTTTCAAACAAATTCACACCAATAACAAGACAAACAGCATTTAGTAGTTGCATTCTAGCACCGTTCTTCTTGGAACCTGAAGAATTTAAATAATCATGACACACTCTTTAGACCATGGAAACATTCTGCAGTTCATGTCGATACACTCTTGTGAGCAGGCAGGGACACTGCTTGCTGAAGATTAGATTTTTTTGCAAAAGGTTTCTGTGCGAGTAGTTCAGCCACCGTCTATACGCATTCATTCTTCACCTCACTTGGTGTGCTCAGCTGGGGCTGGTACTTCCAAATACATGTGTGCATGGAGATCAAGCAAGTAGAACAAACAAAGGTAAAGAGGATGTTAAGCAAAAGGAGTTTATAGACACATTCATAATGAAAGTGATACTGCTTTGAGCAGCAGGTTAGACTAGATGACCTCCTGAGGCTCCTTTTAGCCTGAGTTATTCTACAATTATACTGTCATTGCTTCCTTTCCCCTGACCAGTTAAAACCAATTTAGCAGCACAGAAACAGAACTTCTCCTAGCTTTTGTGTAGAGGAATTAATCTGTGCCAGAAGCTTTGAACGAGCACTTCCAGCAATTCATTCAAAGGCCTGTACTCAAAGTTCCACACCCTTCCAGGAGAAAGCAGTGCCAGCCAGCCACATCTAATCCCATTTCCGTAGAGATTCCCACACCACAGAACTACACAAAGGGGAGAGGACTAGCAGGATATGAAAATTACAGTTAACTGCAATCCAATACCCAACAAATACAATCTTTCTTCACCCGACACCTGTTGATATCAAGATGTCCAACCATGAGCTAAGTGCAAACACAGACTCGCCGCTGAAGAAACTGCAGAAAATAATGGAATTGGCCGCTCTGGAACTGCATGGCTGTCCTGCTCAGTGTGTTTCTCATCAGCGACTAATCTGCAGGAACAAAGTCTTTAGGTGGTCTTACAGCTGGGATCACGAAACCACCTCCAACAGAGGGGCTCCCATACTTTGCCTGGTTGCCACCAACCGCAGTACCAGCAGACAGTCAGAGTAGCTACCAGCTGTGCTCACTCACACACACACAGATGAACATGTGGGTGGTCGGAAAACATCCAGACAAAGCTTTCAGGTCATCTTGACAAAGCTGGTTAGTACTGGTTTACTGGGGGACAGGGTGTTATGTCCCGTTAACTGCCTCACACACTTAAACCCCTTGTTTCAACTCCCCGGCTACAATGCTTGCATACTCCCCTATGCCTCTTGCTCCTCCGGAGCCCACGGTGTTGCACTCGGAA